CAAATCTTGCTCTTTCATAAATCTCAGCATTGCTCGTGGTGTCCGCTGTCAGAATCGATTAGGAGTAAGTGCCTGTGCTGCAGAGCCGTGGGAGGCTGGGGTGGCTCTGCAGTGCCACACGGAGCCGGGCACAGGCTCCCCCAGCACCGCGGCAGCCCCGGCTCCTGCTCTGGGGACAGCACAGGCTCCTCCACAGCCAGCAAGCAGGGAAGCACGAGGGATGGCTGCTGGGGGCCAGAGCTGAGTCATCTGTAATATAATCATAAGGAAACACACATTTTTCCTGAGAGAAAATCAATAGAACTTTGCACTTTTCCTTGTAATAATTCCAGTGTGCGCCATCAGCTGCAGCTCGCTCACAGTTATACTGCCATAAATTCACTGAGAGTTAATGGATTTCCACAAAATCGAATGGATTTACAGCAGTGTAACAGAGCTGGTGCTAGAGCCACGCACATGTAAAAATACATGGAACAAAAAGTAGTTTGATAGCACACAGGTGACCTTCAAAGTGCCAAGACCTAGTGAGTAAAAAACAAAATTACCCAGTTTGTAGTGTGCTCCTTTTCTGGCAAAGTTCCCAAGGAAAATGGAGCCTGCAGTGCTGAAAGCCTTGCGGAGCGTGGCAAGAGGGCCAGACCCACTGAAGAGAAGATGGGTGAATGAGCAGCTTCACGCTGTGATGGAGAGTGCAAAAGACTGTCTGAACATGTCATTTGTCATTTCCTGCATAAAACATTTTGGAGCTTAGTCTCGCTTAGAATTAGTAAGTAAGTAAATAATGTGCTCCCAAACTTGTGTGTCAAAACTAGGTTGGTTAATGTATGAGCTGCCTCCGTTGCATTTGTTACTCCACAGCAAATTTCATGCTTAGCCAGAGGCTGGCAAAGTTCATTTATTCATTATCCCCAAACTTTGGGCAGTTATTATTCAAACGCCCCTAGTACATCTATTTAATAAGAAGAGAACAGAAAATTGATGGGATCAGAAATGTTAAAGTCTTAATTAATGCTTTTAGCAAAGACTGATTGGAGGGGGGTTGTAGTGAGAATATTAATGCGCAGCAAGCGTGTCTGGCTGGTGTCAGCGGGCAGGGGGAGGGCTCTGCCAGCCCTGCCCAGGGAGCTCTGCCCCTGCAGCCCTGAGCTCTGCACCTCTGGGGCATCCCCGCATCACCCCGGGGCTCTGCGCCTCCAGCCCGGGGACCACCAGTGCTGCAGGCCTTGGGGAGCACTGAAATACCAACCTGTGCAAATCCCTGATGCTAATGGGTTTAAATGGTAAAACACCCACTTAGAGCGGACTAAAGGTGGAGGATTCTTTCTTTTCTGCTGTTTCTGGGCTTTTGTGGCAGTTCTGTGCAGTTCTGCAGATCCTGTGCTGCAATGGGGGCTGCTGGACAACTGGGGCCTTTGCTGTGGGCACACGGGGACCATGTTTGGGTTTCACTCGTGCAGGAGCAGCTGCAATTATTCCACAGGAAAATTAACAGGCCTTGGAACAACGGGAACAAGATGAAGGTTTGAAGAATCCCAGCAAGGCAGGCCGTAAGGAAGCCCTGCAGCAGCTGTGTGTGGCAGGGATGGGCAGGAGGGAGGAAGGGCGGCATGGGGTTGTTGCTGAGTTTAAACCAAGTTTATAAAACCCAGCAACCTCTGCCAAGTAGAGATGGATAGTATTATAAATGAAGCCAATCAGGAAAAAAATGTGCTTCAGATCCATAACAATGACAATCCAAAATTCAGAACTGAACAAGGTGGCTTTTTTAAAGGATCTGTGCTACTGCCAACAAGTGGATTGAAATCCCCTATTTCTCCTCTGGTGACTGCCCACCGTTGAATTATAGCAATTATGGACATTGCAAGTAAAACACAGTTACATTAAAGGGTTGAATCAAAGAGGACTGTGATGCAGAGTTAGTTAATGGATTTCCCTATTTGTTGCATATAGATTTCCTTTCCTGTTATTATTGAACTGGTTCTTAAATCTCATATGGAAAATCATCTGTACTGTAATGCAAACTAAATTACCAAGATCTTCATAAATAATTCAAAAATGTTTACAGGTCAATTGAAGATTGCACTTTTCTAACAGGAAATTTTTGGGATTTACTCTAAGGAAGATGGGAAAGGGGGTGTTAATTTTTTTCTATTCCATTACCGTATCTTTCAAAAACTTTCATTCATCTCTGTGTTAGTCTTATCCTTGAAATAGGAAGCAACAATTTAAGTCTTTGGGAGTATTATACAGAAAGAAAAAACAGACGACCACAGAAATGGGCTCTCATTTTTTTTAATTTTCTTTTAAATTTGCTTGGAAATCTGTAGTAACTGATTTATTTTAATAAACTAAAATAGGAATTCTTCATTACTAAATATTTTGCAGGGTTTGAAATTGCTCTGACAATCCAGTGAGTATTGTGACTCATTTTGGGTTTTAGGGTGATCAACATAGTACCTAGGCAGGTTGTGATATTTAGGCTGGCAGTCAAAGTCAACTGTTTGGCAAAAATTAGTAGCATATTTCTGATTTCCAAGTGTTGTGTTTTTATAATAGGCTTTAATTAAACTTTTTTTTTTTTTTTTTTTTTTTAGTTTTTTTTTTTTTTGTTTTTTTTTTTTTTTTTTTTTTTTTTTTTTTTGACAGAGTCTGTCTGTATTAACAGTCTATGAGCTTTAGCTCTAAATTTCCATGGCAAAGCCTCTTTTTAATGCCTATGCTGTAATTTATTTACTTACTGTTCTGGACTGTTGCATTTCAGTGCTTCCAGAGTTGTCAGAGTTGATCCAAGTGATGGACACCTGTCAGTATGTCATTAAGCAACTGTCTTTGCAGTTTTACAAATGTGTCACCAGCCCCACAGGGAGTGTCTGTGCTCTTAGGCTGGGTGTGAGGAAGGTCAGTGCCAGGACTCTGACACCCTCTTGGCTTTGCCTCATCCTTCCCTCAGGAGAGCAGTGTGGTGGTGGCTGTGACCCAGAGAGGAGCAGCTTGGCCAGATCTTAGCCAAGGATCTGAGCACTAAATTCCCCCTTGGGAATGAACGTGCCCTTTCCTGTCATCAGGCAGCCCTGGGCTGGGGCTCAGTCTATGCTCTGAGAATCAGAGTCAGTTCTCTGGAGCCTATGGAGCATCACCAACATGGTGCTGAGGACTCTTGATTTGTCTTTCTTTTCCGGAATTCCCCGCAAAGCACTGAAAGCAGGATGGAGGGGCTGTATTACCAGCCTGCCAGGCACAGCCAGTGCAGCTCAGGAAAGCTCCTGCCCAGCATCCCAGGGCACAGCTCAGCCTCACACTCTGGTCTGGCAGGACAGGCACTGCTGCTCTCACTGCTCTGAGCAGGCAGGGACAGTGAGAGCACAAGGAAAAGCCACCCATCGCTTCCTGAAGGGACCCTCAAGTGCCTCAAGATTTAAAAGTCTGTTTTCCTTGGATAGTCATCCTGTGTCTGTGGTGGGAATTTGGATGCTGCTGACACACCGCAGTGCTATCCTGAATTTACAGTGCCCTGGGAAGCCAGCAGTGCCTACCTACCCAGTGTGTCTCACTGTGACTGAGCCAAGCAGTGCCTGAGCTCCAGAGCTGCCCTTGCTTGGGAATGTTGATAAACCTTTGGACAAAGACACAGTGTGCACATCTAAACCCAAGTCAAGCCAAGGAATAACCGTGCTGAGTGATGATCTAAGCTGAACCACATCTGTCGGTGATACCTGGTACCCTAAGGGGGATGCAGCACTTGAGCAAGTGCACCAGAGAAGCTAAAGGCAACAAAATCAAATGAGACAGTGAAAATTTACAGTTTGATTAAGGAAACATCAGTTACTTTATGGTCTTTACCAAACACACTCGTGTTTGTTATTCATTTATGCTAATTCAGTGCAAGACAGTAAAAGTACAATCATTCAGTGCTACAAATAATGATAATAGTGTAGTCCATTTACAGAGTGCCTGGATATAATTTCAACTTTTATAGTATAGTGTTAGGAAAGTCTAAAGTTAGTTAAATGCACAGCAAGGTGCTAATTTGCAATCCTGGTTAGAATGAACCTCCATTTATGTTTAAGTCACTGATAATGACTTTGCACCCAAGCTAGCCAAGAACCACGCAGCCAGACTCGTTATGACATCCTTTAATAATTAATAACCCTGGCATTTCAGTCTCCAGAGAAGCAAGCAGGGTTTGACAAGACAAGACCCAAACTGAGTACCTATTAGTGCTTCAATCCTGGGGGAATCTGGATGTGGCCACCCTGCAGTTCCCCAGCATTAGTGAGAGACAGAAGGTGGCTCTGCCTCAGGACCGGGGCCGCAGCCCCAGCACAGCCACACCAGGCTCCTGTCAGAATGGCAGCTGTTACATGACTTCACAACGAGACCGAATAAAAAGAACTAAATCCAGCTTGCCACAGTGTCAAATGCGAGCAGTTGAACTTTTTGCTGTATTTTTTAAGAACATAAACTCCCTTTATGAACCCGAGTTAATTATTTAATGGCCTAGAGAGGTCCTACACTACTTAATGCTAGACTAAAGCATTTCACTAATGAAAAACATCTCAAAAGCAAACGCGAAGAGCTTTGCTGGGTTCAGATGGTGTTTGTCAACCTGCTTGTAAATGTGTGTGGAAAAGTCAACCCAGTTTAGGCTCACTACCCCGGGTAATTCAAACCTCGCCACAGCGGTTCTTTTGGAGCACAGCAGCACCAGAGAAAGCCCCGCACACGTTCAGGGCCATGAAAATGCCATGTGCCCACATTTGCCTTCATTCGGTGCTCCTCTCGGGAAAGCATCGGCCCAGTTTGCTGTTTAGAGGCGGGAGTGCAGCACGGTGGTGGGGCGGGGAGCCTGGGGGACATTTAGCGGGGACAAAGCTCACCTGCTCTGGGGCTCGGGACCACGACACGCCTGCGGCACGGGCAATGTGCTCAGCGAGTGCTGCGGTCACGCTGAAGCCATTTAGTTTTATTTTTGCAACACTTAGCATTCCCAAAACAGCCGGATGGAGCTCAAGGACACAGGTAAATAAGCAGGAACATTATGATTTGACACAGCTCGAAGTTTCACGCTGCTCTAAAACAAGCTTTTCCCAGTGGAAAAAAAGGGGGTGTGTGTTGTTTTTTTTTTTCTTTCACGTGCTGAACCAAGAAGCAAAATAAGGTGTTTTCCCACCTAAATGAAGTGATAACGGGTTTTGTCATGCATCCCTAGCTAATTGGGGTGTGATGAAGTGCATAATTCCAAAGCCATCTAGCCCGAGGGCTTAAAGAAAAGCTTAACCGTGCCTGCAAAGCGGAGTGGAGATAGCTGTGTGGCAAGTGCCTATCGGGAGGCTGCAGGCTGTCCAACCAGCCTGACACGGGGCACTATCTGATTGCAGCTCCAATTCTGCCCAGTCCTGCTGCTGGCTTCAGCACTTACTCGATGGCCAATAAGGCATTAAAGAGTCACAATGTACAGCTTATTTCAGGAGGAAATATTTTAACAGCACAGGGGACTGTCATGCATGCATTAAGAAAACCAGGACACAGCATACCAAATTAAGTTCAGCTACGGTGAAATAATTGTAACAGAGCAATGCTGACCCCAGCTACTGAATGGTGAGACCTGGCTTTTGCTGCACAGGTGAGATTAGGTTTTTCTGGTTTGCTTTCCTCTCTGTCTCCTTGCATATATAAATCACACATATAGTGCATATTCACAGAAATACAGCATTATTTAATATTCAGATGTTTGAGATAAAACCCCAATATCTTAGAGAGAGAACTGTCCTTCAAACTCTGCAGCACAAACTACGGTCTCACAGAAATACAAACTGCAAGAGGAAAGTAGCCCCTACTGTGCAACTCTTTCACTTTGTTAGACTGCAATATATTTTCTTATTTTTCATGTGTCTGATTCGTGTAACCCTGCCAGTATGCAAAGATGGTTGTTGACAGTTTCTTTGTTTTGCTTTTATTATAATGTAATTTATGGGATGCTGAAAGTCTGCAAGTACTTGTACTTGACTGACATTTCTCTGAGAGTCAAAAGATTGCTCTCTATACTGACTGAGATTAAAATGAGTAGACTGCGTATAGCTGCATCCTGCTTTGAAAGTGCAGGATTGGAAGGCTTCCATTAAATTGTTATTTTCAGTTATTATTAGCTCCTAAATCAGTTAATATAACTCCTTTCCCATAATGAATGCACAGCACTGTAAACCTAAATGTCATATTTTCTATTGATCTATTTCCACAACCTGTTTAGTGAAATAATTAAAATGATTTACAAGGCTGACCCAATATCTTAGTGGTTTAGTAAATCACGCTGCCGTGCGGGAGGCTCAGCTGGTTTTAAAGCACAGCTCGTGGCAGCAGCAGGACCCGGAGCGGAGCTGCTGTGCCGCACCTGGAGAGGCTCTGGAAACGCCTCCTCCACACTCGGAGAACGAGGGCTCCAGCGGCTCTGCTCAGTCATCACCTCTGGCCAAAGATGGGGAATGCCTTGGTGCTTCCCAGCCCGAGCAGAATCTGCGTTGCAGGGAATGTATCTGCACTGGCAACTGGAACATCCCCGTTTTCTACCCCCACAACTGACTCTGTATATCTGGGTGGGACAAAAAACAGCTGTGGAGTCTGGTATTTTTACATGCATAACAATGAGGGAAATTATTATTTCTACCTTCTTTTTATTTTGTTTGTTTGTTTTAATTAATAAGAAGAGGACAACACACAAAACACAACATCTGTGTTTAAAAGCCAGGGTTATGGAAGGGCTCAGTACAATTCAGTAGTGTCAAGACAAAGACATATTAAAGCATGCCTCACAGTCCCTTAAAATCCCTGTAAGTCAGTCCTCAGGGGATAGGAGGGTTTCATTAAGATGATCTCCTTGGCACAGGAGCCCTCCTGTAATGACATGAGCTCTCCTGACTCCTCCATGTCACCCAGCTCACCCAGAAGTGATGCTGGTAGGACCACCAGAATATTCTTGGGTTTGTTCCCAGCTCAACCTCCCAGTGTTATGGAAACACTGAGAACCCTTGGAGCAGGGGCAGAAGGACAGTACAGCAGTGCCTGGGAGGAGACACAGCAGCCAGACTGTGTTCAAGAGTGGCAAGAGCCAACTAAAAGTACCATTCAAAAGTGGGTAACAACTATCCTTCTCATGAAGAGTGTGGAACAGCTGCAGTCTGGAACAAAAGGGATCGACGTGACTTCCATGGCATCAGGTCAATAGATGTTAAGCAAGGAATGTGCAGCCAGGGCCAGCCCTTGTGGGGTCCCCCAGGGTCCTGCTCTGGCCAGCCATGCAGGGAGGATGTCCCTTAGGGGATACATGTGGGCAGGAAGGACACAGACCTCCATCCTGGAAAGACAGAGTCCCACAACTCTGAAATCAGCATTTGAGACACCACTTACAATGCCTCTATTTGCAATCCCTGAACAAGCCTCTACCTTGCTTTCAGCATCTAGTACATTTTTTTTTAGTTCTATTATTTTACATAATTACACAGAGAAAAGAAAAAACATCCAATAAAAAAACTTTAAAATTTGAAGAGAGTTGTTGGATACACTTTGCAGCAGACGTCATTATCTTCCTTCCCTGACCCTGACCCACAACCATTTCTATTTTGCTTTAAATGATCCTGCAATTTTACAGTATGTATTCAGCTGGAACTATTCTTTTTGTTAAATAAACTTTATCCTTGTTCTGGCTGCTCTGGGCTCTGAAAAGAAACAGTTCTTCCTTGTGACTGTTCCAAAATGTAGGTCTGAAAATAAAAAAAAAAAAAAAAGAAGTGTTGGTAAATGGGCTGTAATCATACTGAAGGGCAACTGAATATTCCTCCTCTAAGGCAGAAGAAAATAAAGGAAAATCTGCTTTGCTTCTGCTGCTTCAATGCTGATAATTTCACAGATCAGAGTGCTTTTTTTAGACAGAAGCCTGCTGTGCTGCAGTGTGTGTTTCGAGCTGAGATACCATAGTCAAGCCCTTAATGCCACACTTGGATGTGTAAATCAGGGCCTCATTTCGTGTCCCCAGCAGCACCTGGTGCTGCCGCAGCGAAGGGCCCTGGCAGACACCAGCACAGGCACCGGCAGCTCCAGACTCACAGGAACCCGAGTGTGCACTGGGAGCAGCACGTCTGTCCTAGCTGTGCACCTGGGAGCTGCAGGGTCTTACATCAGAGCTCAGTGCCTGGGACAAATAGCACTGAAGTGATGCAAGGTTCAAAAGTGACCTCAGAGAGGGACAGAAACACACAAACACCCACCTCCTGAGGGCACAGCAGGGCCACAGCCCCCTCACTGCCCTCTGCCACAGGAGAACATCTCCCCTGCTTCAGTGTCTGCCCGGCCTCAGAGTAGGCTTTCTTCCAGAACAGGACAACCACGAACCAGAAGGAGCTGGGCAGCTCTGTGCTCAGTGTGTGCCACATGGCCAAAGCTGACGGGTCCTGAGCAGTGACTTGCTCACTGCCCCAAGCCTGCATGGCACACACAGCTCTGTGGTGATTACTACCAGCTCCGCTGAAGATTACCAGCTCTTGGTGATTACCATTTCTTGGGGATTACCAGTGTGCTTTTACATACAAATCTGTCCTTCCCTGCAGCTCCTCTGTACACTTGCCAGAGCATCCATCCTTGAGCTTGCAGTAGTCCCAAAAACCCACTGTTCTTCCTGTAGCCAGATCCACCCCTGCAGCACTCCTCATTTCACACTCTCGTAACTCAGAAATCCTTTAAACCACAGCAAGACAGAGTGACTCGAGCTACCTGCTAACTAGGCCTCTGTACTTACTGAGCTGTGGCAAAGCCAAGGAGCCCCTGGCAGCTGTCTGCAAGAGTGCTTTGGGTCAGGTATAAGCCTGTGATGAGTTAACTCTGTTTAGAGAATGTACTTAAATTAAACATTTTCTCTCTCCCATTTTCACACACTGTTCTGTTTTTAACAAGTATAAGGTGCTTAATAATCTCTACCACTGGTAAAATGAAAGCTCTCCTCCCATCCTTGCCATTTTGTCCCACTGCAAAATGTATAAATTAATCCCATGCTAAAATTAACATACATTGCTGAGGCAAATGAATTGGCATCTTCATGTGTATCTATTAGCTTCCAGCATTTCCTGAGAGGGCTTTCATTTAATTACCAGCCTGACAGCCTAAGTCACTCCTGACTGCAGCCACATTTATTACTTTTATCTCCTTGGACACCTGCCTCTCTCCATGGTTTATCAGATTTCTACTGAAGAGAGGGACAGAATATTTTCTATTGCACCACGTTATTGTTTCTTTAAAAGGCACTTACTAAAGCACTGACCTCAAACGGGGTTGTTTTGGTTAGCTTAGCATGGGCTTTTTTATTTTTCAATTATCAAAGGACTGCTGTAGCGTTAACCCTCTCACTGCCCCACCACACTCCGGCAGTCCCAAAGAAATGGGATTACAGACAGGGAGCTGAAAGCCTCATTGCCAGCTCTGGGCAAGGAGCTGACCAGTGCACATAAGGACCCTGCCAGCAGTGGCAGTCCAAGCCCTCAGGTGCTGTGACTGCTTTTCACACTCTCATGGATGAAAACTTCAGGAGTCCTGAGCACAGCTCAGTGCCCTCCACTATAGTCCAGTGAGGAGGATTTAGCTGAATTTCCCTTGGTGGTTTGGGTCACACATTATACAGTCACTGATGCCTCTATAATTGGTTGATAAAACACCAATGCCGAAAACCAGGAACATTATAAAAGTAGTGCTGCCTCCATGCATTACCAGCATGGTGCCAGCAGCGTTATGGGTTAGCAGCACCCTGTGTGAGCATTCACCACTCCACATCAGCTGGGAATCTCAACTCTCCCCTAAGATCGCCTCAGGGAGCAGCTCAGGACACTGCTAGTTCAGGTGCTGACTGTGCCAACGGGGGTCATTCGGCCCAGTCTCAACAGACAAATAGCTCCCACTTGTTTTCCTCTGTGTCACTCTACCTGAGAGACACAGGTCCCCTGGGCAGGACTCATGAGCTGGCGTGCTGTGACAGACACTTTCAAACCAGCGGGACCTGAAGCTGAGTGCTGCGGAGGAGCCCTTCAGTGTGTATTCAGCAGCTGCATCCTTTGGAGGTGCACAAGCAGACTTGCTGTGTTAAAAGGAATGGCTCACTCCTAACAGCCTCAGCACACTGCCTCCAAAGAGTCTGGCAGGAACAGGACTTTGCTGAGAATGATGCTTTTGAGAAGGATGCCTCATTATAGAGGAAAAATGAGAAGTTCGTATCTGTTCAGTTAATGAACCTTCTCAGCTTCCCTGGGGTTTCACAGCAGTTGTAACTCCAGCCACGGTGGCTGTTTGGCAGGGAGCAGCTGCTGGCTGGGAGCTGTGCAGGAGACAGCCGAGCTGGGGACACTGCCCAGGGTGGCTGGAGCCTCCCGCTCCCACCTGGGTCACGGTGTCAGAGACAGTGCCCATGGTCCCAGCTCAGCCCCTGGGCTGCTCCCACCTGGGTCAC